AATAACATAAAGAGATGGACGCTCGGAATCCCGCCAGGGGATCACACGGAGCGCGTTTTCCGTGCGGGATGCGCTGGGCGAAGCCCAGGGCTGTGATTTTTGCCCCCCTCGGAGCAGGGGGGTGAAGAGGTCAGAGGAGGGGGGCAAGGAGATGATGGGAAAGGGGAGGGAGGAGCCTCCATCCCTTCCCCCCCCTCCCCTCCACCAAACAATCAGAATAAAAGCAAATTATTCTTCCTATTTCCCTTCCCGAGATGAAGGATAAACTGTCCATCCCTGAAAAGCCAACTGATAACACCTTTAATTTTTCCTGCAAGGCCTAAAAAAATGCCATTTCTACGCAAAGCAGGGCCCCTCTCTCCTCCCCAACCTTCTCTTGATAAACGTCGGGGGATTTTTTTTTTTTTTTTCCCTTCCCCGTGTTTTTTTTTTTCTTTCTCCCTATTTCCCTTTCAGTTCGGTTCAGGGAAATGCCCCCGGAGCTACAAACAACGCACAAGAAAGCAAAATCATATTTTAGTCAAAATAGGCAGCCGGCGCTCGCAGCCAACTTTCAAATTAGCATTTTGAGGGCAAATATGCAGCAATTTGAGATAATGAGGCCTGATTATTCAATCCAATGAATGTTAAATAGGCACAGAGGGCGCCCCGGCCTTATCTCCCCCGCTTTCCATTTATTTTACTTTAGTTTAGTTTTAATCGTTTCCCATTTGAACTCTTTATTTGTCTTGGCTTCAGCCCCCGCCTCTCTCCCCCCCTCCCTTCCCCTTCGCAGCCCCTCCCTCCATTCCCGGGCATCCCTGCGCTGCCAGCCGGGATTTTGCGGTGGGAAATCGCCGGTAGGGATCCGCCATCCACTGGAAAAGATGTATTAAGGGAGTGTTTTGTGGCTTGTCCTCCAAAAATAAAATAAAAATTTGGGTTTGGGGAGGTTTGGGTGTTGCTGTGAGGGCTGGTCCCTGTGTCCGTGTTTGGGGGGTGTTTTGATGGTGGTGGGAATATTTGCTAGGATGGGAATGGCTGGCATGGAGATTCCATAGAATCCCAGAATGGTTTGGGTTGGAAGGGACTTGAGGATCGTCTTCTTCCTGTGGGCACCTTCCATTATCCCAAGTTGATCCAACCTGGCCTTGGACACTTCCAGGGATCCAGGGGCAGCCACAGCTTCTCTGCCCAACCTGTGCTAGGGCTTCCCACTCTCCCAGCCAGGAATTCCTTCCCAATATCCCACCCAAATCTTCACTTTTCCAGAGGGAAGCCATTCCCCCTTGGCCTGTCCCTCCATCCCTTGTCCCCAGTCCCTCTCCAGCTCTCCTGGAGCCCCTTCAGGCCCTAAAAGGGGCTCTCAGCTCTCCCTGGAGCCTTCTCTTCTCCAGGGGAACCCCCCCAGCTCTCCCAGCCTGGCTCCAGAGCAGAGGGGCTCCAGCCCTGGCAGCAGCTCCGGGGCCTCCTCTGGACTCTCTGCAGCAGCTCCACGTCCTTGTGCTGTTGTTCCCAGGGCTGGAGCAGCTCTGCAGGGGGGTCTCAGCTGAGACAGGGGCAGAGGGGCAGAATCCCCCCCTGCCCTGCTGCCCACGCTGGGGGATCAGCCCAGGGCATGGGGATTTTTTGGGATGCCAGTGGATGTGGATGGAGCATCTCCAACCTTTCATCCACCAGCACATTTGAGGTGCTGGATCCCCAACTCTGGCTCGTCCTTCATCCCTTCCCTTCAATTCCAGGACTTTTTGTGCAGTTGCTCCCACTCTGGATTTCAGCACCATCAGAAAATTAATCCAAAGAGCCAACGAGCCTTGGGGGAGACGATCCCAGATCCTGCTGCCATCCCAAAGCAAAGCCTGGCTCAGCATCCCAGGAAAATCCACTTTCTTTGCAACCCCAACAAGGTGCTTTTCCCATCCCTAGGGAGGGTCAGCTCCAGGTTGGGAAGCTCCCGGGTTGAGGAGCACTAGGCACTGATGGTCCCACCAGGGTGGAGAGCAGTATTTTGCACCAAAAGTGAGGAAAAAGAGCAAAATCATGTAATTTCTATTATTTTCCAGCTTCTTCCCAGGAAGGGAGCTTGGTTAGATGGGATCCCACATCCAGCATGTCATTGCAATGAGATTTAGGGAAGTATTAGGGTGATTTGTGAGAGGGAAATGCCATGGAGGAGGAGGAGGAAGAAAAAATTAAAGTTAGGCAAAAATTGAAGAAAAAATTAAGGGAGAAATTAAAGGGAAAAATAAAGTAAAGAAAAAATTAAAGTTGAAAGAAAAATTAAAATAAAGCAAAAATGAATGGTGAAGGAAATATTAAAATAAAGCAAAAATTAATCATAGAATTGCAGAATATGTTGCAGGGAATATTAAAACTGAAGGAAAAATTAAAGCAAAAAAAATTAAGGTTAAAGCAGAAAAACTAAGGTTAGAGCAAAAATTAAAGTTGAAGGAAATATTGAATTGGAAGGGAAAAATTCAAGCTGAAAATTAAAGTTGCAGCAAAATTCCACCCAGCCCAGGACAGTGCAAAGGATCCCCGTGTTCCCTTCGGTTCAAGAGTGGAACAAAAAACGTAATAATTGATTTCAGGGGTAATTAAAAAACCTCTTTATGCCTCAGAATGCAGAGGTGTCAGCGAAATAAAAGAGTTGAATAAATAAGAGAGAAATAAATGGGAGCGGGGCGGGGAAGGGGAAGGGAGATGGATAAAAAAATCCCAATTATGAAGGTAAAAGATGGGAAGTGGCGGAGAGGAGGAGATGTTGCGAGAGGAGAGATAATCAGAGCATAAAAAAAAATGTGGAAAAACAATCAAAAGAAGGGAAAATCAAAAGCAGATGCTGAGGAGGGATAAGGGGCGGCCGGCGGAGCGGGAACGGGCGCCGGACCGGAGGGATAATTGGATTTGATTTCGTCTCGGGGGCGATAAGAAATTCCCAGTGTAGGTTTTTTTTATTCCCATCCGAAGCATATTTTAATGGGAGATTTGAATACAGCCGGGGCAGAGCATCCCGACGGAAAAAACGCAGGATTTTCGGCAGTTTATCCCCTCGCTCGGGGGCTTTCTGGGGCAGAACGCGGCTGTTCCTGCGCTCGGCAGCTTCGTTCCCGTGAGCAGCGTCAGGGAGCCCCAAAAGCAAGGGGAGGGGGCGCAGGAATCACGGATCGTGGAATGGTTTGGGTCGGAGGGGACCTCAAAGACCGTTTAGTCCCCGTGTCCCCGCGGCCGAGCGGAACGGGCGCCTCCGGCCCCGGGAGCTCCGGGAACACGGAGCGGGAGCCGGGAGAGGGAGATGGGAGCGATAGGGCAGAGCGGGCGCTGACCCGGGACGGCCCCGGACATCCCTTATCACAGTGGGATCAGCGCTCCAGGCCCGGCGCCCGGCACGGCTCCGCGCCCTGACCTTGCTCCAGGGGCCGGGAATGGGATGGAGTTATGGGGTCAGGGAGCGGGTTTAATTAGGATTGGGGCCACTGGGGGTGTGTTGGTGTGTCCCACACCCCGCTCCGGGCTGGGAACGCTCCTGAGGGTGTGAGGTGGAGCTCGGGGTGGGGAAAGGGGGTGTGTGGCTCGATGCCGTTGGGAATAATCCTGTTGGGATAGTGGGAATCTGCTCCTGTGTGTGTGTGAGGTCATGGGAGAACAGCACACGAGGGGATCTGCAAAGCCCCCGGGTTTGGGGGGTTTGGGGGGGCTCCAGCAGCCAGAGGAGAACACGCAGGTTGGAATGTGCAGGTGGGTGTTGGTGTGGGCACGGACACACCGGGGTGTGGAATCACCTGGGCATGGACACATGGGGGTGTGGAAACAGCTGGGCACGGACACATGGGGGTGTGGAAACAGCTGGGCACGGATACATCTGGGCATGGACACACCAGGGTGTGGATACAGCTGGGCGTGGACACACTGGGGTGTGGAATCACCTGGGTACAGACACACCTGGGCATGGACACAGCTGGGCATGGATACACCTGGGCATGGACACGTGTGTGTGTGTGTGTTTCTTCATGTGCATGGACATACCTGGGCACGGACATACCTGGGCATGGACACACCTGGGCATGGACACATCTGGGCACCGATACACCTGGGCATGGACACATGTGTGTGTGTGTTTCTTTATGTCAATAGACACACCTGGGCATGGCCACACCTGGACATGGACACATCGGGGCATGAATACACCTGGGCATGGACACATGTGTGTGTGTGTGTTTCTTTATGTGCATGGACATACCTGGGCATGGACACACCTGGGCGTGGACACACCAGGGTGTAGAAACACCTGGGTGTGGACACACCTGGGCATGGACACGTGTGTGTGTGTGTTCCTTTACGTGCCCAGACACTCCTGTGTGTTTGCATGTGCAGGGACACCCCTGTGCTCGCACACGTGCGGGAGCCAGGCCGGGCAGGGCCAGGCCGGCAATGCCGTGCCGGAGGTGCCGGCGGGCTGTGGACACACCTGGGGCACAGGTGAGACCCCCAAACAGCCCCCCCCGGGGCTGGGCGTGGCCCGCCCTGCTCTGACCACGCCCCCAAACAGCTCTGACCCCGCCCCCGAAGTCCGACCACGCCCCCACGACTTTGACCACGCCCCCGCCGCCTGGGGCGTCGGAGGTGGGTGCGCGAAGGGGGCGGGGCCGGCGCGGGTCGTGGGCGGGGTTAACACCGGGCGCGGAGGAGGCGGGGCCAAGGCCGGTCATGGGCGGAGCCGGAGTGGGCAGGGGCGTGGCTAGCCCCGGTTGGGGCGGGGTCAAACCCCGTCGGGGGCGTGGTCAGCGGGCGGGCGGAGGCGTGATCAGCTCCATTCGGGGCGTGGCCAGGCCTGAGGGTAGGGGGCGTGGCCAGCGCGGCGAGGGCGGGGCCAGAGATTACGGGGCGGGGCTACGTGCCCGTTGTGGGCGTGGCCTGACCGTTGTGGGCGGGGCCGGGCCGGGGGCGGTGTCGCTCTCGCTGCGGCAGCGGCGGCTCCGAGCGGGGCCCGGCGCGGCCCTGCCCCGCTTTTCCCCGGCTCTTCCCCGGCTCTTCCCCCCGGCTCCCCCCCGGCCCGGCCATGGCGCTGCTGCGGGCGGCCGCGCTGCCGGCCGAGGGCGGCCCGGCCTGGCTGCCCACGCACGTCCAGGTGACGGTGGTGCGGGCCCGCGGGCTGCGCTGCAAGGGCGGCACCGGCGCCGGCAAAGGCAAAGCGGGCGGCAGCGACGCGTACACCGTGATCCAGCTGGGCCGCGAGAAGTACAGCACCTCGGTGGCCGAGAAGAGCGGCGGCAGCCCCGAGTGGCGGGAGGAATGCGCCTTCGAGCTGCCCCCCGAGCCCGGGCCCCGCGCCGGGCTGGTGCTCACCGTGATGCACCGGGCGCTGGTGGGCATGGACCGGTTCCTGGGACAGGCCGTGGTGCCCCTGGAGCCCGCCCGGCAGCGCGGGAGGGAGCCCGACGAGCGGTGAGTACGGCCGGGGGGGGGGTATGGGGTCACTGGGTGGCCGTGGGTGGGTGTCCTGGGGTCACTGGCTACCCCAGGATGGGCGTCATGGGGTCCTTGTGTATCCCAGGGTGGTGTCACGGCACCCCTGGATACCCCAGGGTGGGTGTCGTGGGGTCCTTGTGCACCCCAGGATGTGT